TGTCTGGGTTTTTCATGGGAGTTTCTGTTGGAGGGTCCCAGCCACTTCATCCTGGGAAGCCTTTCCTTGCCTCCAGGACCTGTTCCCTGACTCTCAGTGCCTTTTGCACCAGACATTCCTCAAGGTTTTTTTGCTTATTAATAGTATCCTGGCTAAGTGTGGTGACTCATGCCTATCTGTAATCCCAGCCCTTTGGGAGATGAAGGTGGGAGGATTCCTTGAGGCCAGTAGTTCAAGACTAGCCTGCACAATGTAGTGAGACTCCATTTCTACAAAAAATAGAAAAAATTAGCTGGGCATGGTAGCAACATGCCTGTAGTCCCAACTGCATGGGAGGCTGAGGTGGGAGGATCCCTTTAGCCCAGGAGTTTGAGGTTGCATTAAGCTATGATTACACCACTGTACTCCAGACTGGGAAACAGAGCCAGATTTAAAAAAAAAAAAGTACTTCAAGGGTAATGGGTGAGGGAGGAGTTAAACATGTGAGTTCAGAGCACCATCATGAAACAGAGCTGAAGGCGCTTCTTTATTATGGTATAATTTATATTTCATTTTTGGAGCTAACTGGCACCATGATCCAGTTTTAGAACATTTCCATCCCTCAGAAACTCCTGTGTCCTTATGTAGTCAGTTCTGCCTCTGCCCCTGCCCCTGCCCCCGGCCCAGCAGTGATATGCACTTTTGTCCTCTAAATTTGCCTTTTCTGGACATTTCCTAAAAATGGAATCTACACAGTAGATTCCTTTGCATCTGCCTTCTTTCCCCGAGCATGTGTTTTTCAGGTTTGTTGGTGTGGTGGCTGTATCCGTGTGTTACCTCTGTTTTGCTGAGTAGTGCTCTATCCTGCAGATGTGTCGATTGAATTGTCTGTCTACCAGGTGGTGAACATTTGGAGGGTTTCTAGCTTTTGGCTTTTATGAATAATGCTGCTGTAAGCATTCATGTTCATGTCTTTGTGTGGGCGTATGTTTTTTTTTTTTTTTTAAGGAGACACCTAGGAGTAGAATTACTGGGTCATGTGATAAATTTATATTTAACTTTTTAAGAAACTACCAAACTATCTTCCAAAGTGGCTGTGCCATTTTGCCTTCCCACCAGCAACGCATGAGTGTTCCGTCTCTCCACATTTCTGCCAATACCGGTATGGCTTGTTGTTGTTTTGTTTTGTTTTTCATTGTAGCCATCCTGGTGGGTGTGATGTGGTATATCAATATGGTTTCATTTGTGTTTCCCTGATGGCATTTCTCTTGTTAGCTATTCGTATATCTGATTGATTGATTGATTGATTGATTGATAGGGTGTCACTCTGTCGCTCAGGCTGGAGTGCAGTGATACAATCTCAGCTCATTTGCAACCTCTGCCTCCTGGGTTCAAGCGATTCTCCTGCCCCAGTCTCCCAAGTAGCTGGGATTACAGGCATGTGCCACCATACGCGGCTGATTGTTGTATTTTTAATAGAGACGGGGTTTCACCGTGTTGGCCAGGCTGGTCTCAAACTCCTGACCTCGGGTAGTCTGCCTGCCTTGACCTCTCAAAGTGCTGGGATTACAGGTGTGAGCCACTGTGCCTGGCCCATATATCTTCTTTTGTGAAATATCTGTTCAAATCTTTTGTGCAGTTGCTTTTTAAACCTGTACCAGCTGTGGATCTGTGGTCCTTGGTTACAGTGAACATGGCTTCTCTCAGGACAAAAATGACTAACAAATGAGACTTCTTAGCCCGTCTCTTCTCTTTGCTCATGAAAGAGGACTTTGGCCTTTCCAGCTTAGCTTTTTCTCTAAGGAAGAACTTACCAGTTCTTTTTTTTTCTTTTTTACTATGAAAATTATCAAGCACTTAGAAAAGTGCAGAGACTGGTACAACAAACTCCTCTATACCCTCTTGTCTGGCTTCAGGCATCGTTATCATGTTGTCATATTTGCCTTATCTCTACTCATATGTATTTTGCTGACCCATTCGAAAGTAAGTTTTAAACTTTACATCTGTATGTTGATACACACCTCACTAAGGGTGAAGACTTTTTCCTAGTTAACCACTGCACTGTTATCATACTTAGGAGAATTTATAGCGATTCAGTGGTACCCTCTAAGATCCATAGTCAGCTTTTCCTAGTTGATTCCCAAATGTTGTTCATAGGGCAGACTAGTTCTTCTGAGCGTTTTTGGGAAGAATGGGAAAGTAGAAGGCTCACAGGATAGAACTGAGGAGGGGATAATTGAAGTGGATTATATTGGATTGGAGCAGCTATGAAGGAGGAGAGAAGAGCCACTGTCAGTGCTGAAGATGTACCAGAAGAGAGCCTGGATCATTTGTGGACGTTCCTTTTTGGTTGCTTGCCCCCGTTTCTTTGACAGCACACTGCTATTTGCTGGGCCCTGTGACTGAGGGACCTGGGAAGGTTGCAGATGGAGTCAATATCATCAGGCTTTTTCTTCTTTTTGAGCTACCTCCAAAGACTGGAGCCAACTGCAATTATCCAGGCAAATCATCTTTCCCAGTGACCTTTGGGCTAGATCTTGCCCTCCAGGACCGATTTCCTCATAGGCACCACAGATTCGGCATTCCCAAATAAAATTTATCATTTTTCCCTCAAATCTGCTGTGTCAACTCTGTTCCTTCCTTGAAGAAGGGCATACCATCCTTCTGGTACTTCATGCCAAAAACCATCTCATCCTCAGCTGGTACTTCTGCCTCACCTCTGTTTCAGTACATGGGAGTCTCAGTCCTTCCTGTCTTCCTGTCTCTCAGTCTCTCTCCTCTGACTTGACTGCTGCAACCTCAGAGCAGAGGCCCTTCCTTATCTCCTGCCTGGATAACTGCAGTTGGTTCCAGTCTTTGTCTTCTTCTTGCCTTCCTCCCACCCTGTCCCCCACGTTCCTGGTCACTTGCTGCTAAAAGGCTGTCAGTGGCTTCAGGCTTCTGTGTTTAGTGATGTGGTAAATGCTCTCCTACAGGTGAGTATACTTGGGTGACAAAACAACTGGGTCTGCTTTGGGTTGTTCAGGCATGATACCTGAAAAGGTGACATTTGAGCAGGGTCTTGAATGATGACAGGGTGGTATAGTGGCATGAACAAAGGCATCAAATAATGAGATATATGCCTCCCTGTGCCTCAGTTTCGCCACATGTAATAGGGTGTAATGTGCCCTTTCTCTCTAGCTGCCCTTAGAATTTTCTCCTTTATTTCAACCCTGGTGAATCTAACAATTATGTGTCTTGGGGTTGCTCTATTTGAGGAATATCTTTGTGGAGTTCTCTGTATTACCTGGAGTTGAGTATTATCCTGCCTTACTAGGTTAGGAAAGTTTTCCTGAATAATATCCTGAAGAACATTTTTCAGCTTGGATTCATTCTTTTCATGACATTCAGGTACACCTATCAAATGTAAATTAGGTCTTTTCACATAGTCCCATATTTCTTGGAGACTTTGTTCATTCCTTTTACTTTTTCTTTCCTAATCTTGTCTTCTCATTTCATTTCATTTCATTAAGTTGGTCTTTGACCTCTGATATCCTTTCTTCTGCTTGATCAATTCGGGTGTTAAAACCTGTGCATACTTCGCGGAGTTCTTGTATTGTATTCTTTAGTTCCATTAATTCACGTATATTCCTCTCTGAATTGTCTATTCTTGTAAGGATTTCGTCAAACCTTCTTCCAAGGTTCTTAGTTTCTTTACATTGGGCTAGAACATGTTCTTTTAACTCACAGAAGTTTCTTATTATCCACCTTCTGAAGCCTAATTCTGTTATTGGAATGCACTCGTTCTCCATCAGGCTTTGTTCCCTTCTTGATGAGGAACTGTGATCCTCTGTAGAGGGAGAGGCATTCTGATTTTGAGTATTCTTAGCCTTTTTACGCTGGTTTCTTCCCGTCATTGTAAATTTATCCACCCATCGTCTTTGTAATTACCGAATTTCAAATTGGGTCTCTGAGTGGATGTCCAACTTGTTAATTCCCAGCACCAAGATCTGAGCAACCCACTGCGCCGGCTAAAACAGCGGCGTTAAGATTCTTGGTGCTTTTCTGCGCTGTCTGGCTTCCCTCTTGAATCCCTTCTTCAATCAGCTGAATGGGCAACTCTGCCTTTGCGGAGCTCCAAACATCGACCAAAAGGGGACCCAGTCCTGTTTACTCTGCACCGAGAACCGCCACGCCGGCCACAAGAGTTGCACTGGCAACCCGTGGGGCTCCTCGGCTGGGAATCTCCTGGTCTGTGAGCAATAAAAATTTGTCTGAAAGTGTGGTGTCCTCTTGTTCTCTGCGCTTTCACTGGGAGCTACAAGCCTGAGCTGCTAGTGATCGCCCATCTTGGATCTCTCTCCTCAATAGAGTGTAATGATAGGATCTACTTCAGGATTTTTGGGTTAATGTATGCTAAGAATGGCACATAGTACTATATGGGGTTAGCTATTATCCAAGTTATTATTGATGAAGAAGTATGGTGCCAGGGGAACACAGTAGAATTGGTTTGTCTTCTTCACTTTGCCTTTGTTTTAAAAGAAAAATCAAGGCTGGATGCGGTGGCTCACATCTGTAGTCATAGCAGTTTGGGAGGCTGAGGTGGGAGGATTGTTTGAGCCCAGGAGTTTGAGACCAGCCTGGGCAACATAGCAAAACCCCACTTACACACACACATACACACACATTAGCGGGGCATGGTGGTACATGCCTGTAGTCCCAGTGACTCGTAGAAGGATCACTTGAGCCCAGTAGGTTGAGGTTGCAGTGAGCCATGATTCAGCCACTGCACTCCAGTCTGGGTGACAGAGCAAGACCCTGTCTCAAAATAAATAAGTAAATAAAACCAAGGCCACAAACTCTAGTGCCTGCAAGAGCTAGGCATGCACTGAAATGGTTGCACAAGCCACGTGGGAACTAAAAGGCCCTTTCTTTAAAGGTCTCCTCTGAGATGATCTGCTCAAGTCTGGTACAGCTTTCACCTGGTGATGTGGATAAGTTTGTTTTGAAGACTGTTTTTTATGAGCCCCTTTGCCTTGCAGGACTTCTCCAGACAGGTTATGTTACCTGCAGAGGCTGCCCTGAAGCTGCCTGCAGCCTGGAGACTATGTACAAGAGGAATGGTCTGATGGCTAGCGTGTTGGTCACCTCTGCCACTCCACAGGTACTGAGGCTGCAAGTATTGGGACAGTGGGTAGAGGGGTCTCCTTTCAGCTAACCCAGGCCCCAGCTGAGCCTTGAACAGCAAGGCTATAGGGCTCTATGAATACCACCATTCTCAGCACTCCCAAGGCCTCTGGCCATGCCAGGCGTGAGATTTGGGAGGCAGTCAGCCCTGAGGATCAGTATGTTTTCTGAAGTCGTTCTCTTCAAAGAAAAAAAAATACCTGCCCAGTCCAGTCGTAACAAGTGGCACATTCCATTTTGGTGGCAAGAAGGGATCAGACCTTTCCCAGGAAAAGCCGCTGCTGATTATAAATAAGTCACACACATTCCGGAATGAAGTCAGACAGAAGTCATTCCAACTGGCCCTGGGTTCTTATTTACCTTGCTCTGTAGGAAATGGCTGTAAGGACTGGTGGTCTGGAGTGGCCTGGGCTAGGGTCCCTGCTATGGGGTTTGGGAGTTTGCTTTCCCTGCTCAGTAATGGCACAGAAGCATGCAGGAAGATTGGGTGCCATCTGAGGCCCAGAGGCCACCCTGTTGTGTGTATAATTCCTGTTCCTCTGACAGATTGGCAAGGCTATGCCAGGGTTTGAGCCCACAAGGCCCTCCTAATTATGCTGGGCTTTTGAAGTGATCTTGGGTAACCAGCCAAAAAGTCACAGGAATCAGTTCATTTCTTATAAACCTTTCAAAAAATTCTGTGTTTTGATCTCTGGTCCTGAAATCGGGATAGGTTTAAGTAAAATGATTCTTAATTCTGCTGCAGCAGAATTATCATTACCCTCATCATCACCACCAATAAATGTATTTGAGGCAGCTTTTAATTGAACAAATCCCCTTGTATGAGTGTGTGTGTTTGGGGCAGATATGATCGTGTGTCACTGGAAAGTTAAAATATCTGAAATCCCAGGAATGGACTTCTATTTCCTGGAAGGAATTCTATTTGACTTCTTTGTAACTATAGAGTCAAACTTCTATTTCCATCTAGAGTGAAGCTTCTTTCTTCTCTGCCTTCTGTGTGTATATATGTATGTATATGTATTTGAGTGTGTATATATGTGTGTGTGTGTGTGTGTGCATGGACATACACACACATATGCTATATATATATACATGTATGTATGTCTAGCACAAGGTAAGTACTCATTAAATATTTGTTGAATAAATGAATGAGTGAATGAATGAATACATTTGTAACTGAAGTGCTCAATAAGTTTTGATGGCTGAGTGATACATTTACACCCATATAGCCCCATAATTTGTTGCTTACTATATACCAGGCACTTTTTTGCATGTTCCATAGGCATTGTCTAATTTAATAGTCACAATAATCCCAACCCCATCAGGTTTATGTTATTTTATCCCCAGTTTATAGATGAGGAAACTAAGGCCCAGACAGGTGAACAAACTGGCTTGGAATCACACAGCTGCCAGGTAGGTGGGGATTCAAAGCCAGACCTCCCTGACTCTTGAGCTCGTGCTCCTAACCATGACATTATACCATCCAAAAGAAATTCACCCTGTCACCCTGATAGATTCAGCTTCCTGGAAGGTGGATGTAGAAGTACAGAACGGTTTGTACAGAATTGTCTGCTTAGGATCTACATATAAGGCTGGGAGATAGAGTAGAATGCCTATTTCAGAAGCATCAGGAGTAGTCTTTATAACTTTTCATAAGTTCACTCTGCACAGGTTCTCCTCAGGAGAGAATGTCTTGTCACTGTGAAATTTTAAAAATAGCCATGCCTGGGCTGGGCGCAGTGGCTCCTGCCTGTAATCCCAGCACTTTGGGAGGCCAGGATGGGTGGATTACCTGAGGCCAGGAGTTCAAGACCAGCCTGCCAACATGGTGAAACCCCATCTTTACTAAAAAAATACAAAAATTAGCCAAGTGTGGTGGTGGGTGCTTATAATCCCAGCTACTTGGGAGGCTGAGGCAGGAGAATCATTGAACCCAGCATGTGCAGGTTGCAGTGAACCGAGATTGCACCACTGCACTCCTGCCTGGGCAACAGAGGGAGACTCCCACTCAAAAAAAATAAATAAATAAAAAAATAAAAAGCCATGCCTGAGCTCACTCTAGTCCCCTTGAATCAGCCCTCCTGGAGGTGGGGGCAGATTCTGCCGGTTACTTTCTAAGCTTCATTTTATATAACCTGTACTATAGCCCAAGTACAGGGCTAATATCAGCAGAAGTAGGTTTAATATCAGCATTTTACAGATGATAACTGAGACTCAGTAAAATGAAGTTATTTGTCTGAGCTCAGACAGCAACTGGTGTGGAGCTGGCATTTTAACCAGGCCTATCTGACTTCAGAGCTCTTAACCACTCTGGTATACTGCTTCTTAAGATCATCTTAAGAGTTTTTGGTATAGTGGACTCATTTTAAAACCTTTTGATGACACAGGCCTATCAAAATCTACAGGTTTAAGTTCCTGCTCCTCTTTTTAACCTTACATTTCCAGTTGTTGGCTATTAGTTTCCCTCACTGATCTAAAACATTCTAGTTTCCAGGAAGATTGCGAAGTTTTTCCAGATATAGCCATTTTGGAAAGAGTGAAATAAAGAATTAATAAAAGCATATTCTCTACATCCCAGTCCAAAATGTTAAGGTTAATGGAAACCACAAAATCCTCCTTCATGAGCTGAGACAAATAAAATAATTTATGAACAGGGCACAATTTTTGGGTGGTAAGCTCAATTGAGCTTGGTGAAGTTAAATTAAAGGGAAAGTATATTCAACATTCTGGAATCCCTACAGTGTTGAGATCCATGAAATCAGCCACATTTGAGGAGTTTTAACTTGCCTTTTTATGGGAGACTCTTTCATATACATGCAGGATGCAGAGTATCCTTAGCACAAAGGACTCTACTAAATATAACTTTTACACCTGGCCTCCAAAGCCAGTTGGTTACCTCTCAGCTCATTAGCAAGCAGGCTTTGAATTCCAAGTGGCCTGCATGAGAAATAAGGCTTGAGAGCCACTTTTACATTTTGTGTAACAATTTCCTGCAATGACTTCAAGTAGAAAAAAGAAAGGTAAAACCAGGTAATGTTTGAAAGATGTCATGAAGCAGATTGTCTCCTCAGGCCTCTTAAGACATGCAGTCTGATTCTCTCCCGAGGAAGATTGTGCTGTGATTTTTTTATCCCACCACTAAACCGTTGGCCAGAGAAAGTTAGGGTGTGGCAACTGAAGGTGTGTGTTTTGGGATCAGATAGATGCAAAACTAAGTTTACTTCCTAGCTTTCACTTTCATAGCTGGGATACCTTGGAGAAGTAACATTGCCTTTACTTCCTTATCTATAAAATGGGAACAATAATAATGTATACTCATAGGGCACACTTGAGAAGGAAATAAGATGATACACATGAAGTGCTTAACACGGTGCCTGGAATGGGGTAAGGCACTAAACAGTAGAAGCTGTTTTTATTGTACTGTTTTGTTGCTCTCCCATCCTCAATTCTGAGGAGGTTTGGGAGGCAGATTCCAAGCCAGATCTCTCAGTTGGCACCATCTCTCCCTGCTCTCCACAGGGCAGCAGCAGCTCGGACTCTCTGGAGGGCCAGAGCTGCGAGTATGCCAGCAAGAGCTATGATGCCGTTGTCTTCGATGTCTTGAAAGTGACCCCAGAGGAGTTTGCTGTAAGTGACACAGAGCCGGTATGGGTGGCTGGGCACCACAACAGGGCACTAGAGGGAGCCACCACTTAGGCTTTTTGCTCAGATTGGAAACATATATGTCCAACAAGAGGGAGTGTTGAGTAAAATACGTATCACCCTTTATGAAATACCATGCAGCATTAAAAAGGGTGCTGTCTAGAAATTAACTATCTTGGAAGGTCGTACGCTATGTATATAAAAGTGGAAGGAGCAGACTAGCACAGTTTGTGGAGAACATGCAGTTTTAAAAATGTATGTACAGGCTGTGCGTGGTGGCTCACACCTGTAATCCCAGCACTGTGGGAAGCTGAGGCAGGAGGGTGGCTTGAGCCCAGGAGTTTGAGACCAGCCTGGGCACATAGGGAGATTGTCTTGACAAAAAATGGAAATAAAAAAATTAGCCAGGTATGGCAGCACACACTTGTACTCCCAGCTACTCAGGAAACCAAGGTGAGAGGATTGCTTGAGACTGGGAAGTTGAAGCTACAGTGAGCTGTGATCATACAACTACATTCCAGCCTGGGTGACAGAGCAAGACCCTGCCTTAAAAAAAAAAAAAAGTGTGTATAACATACATATGACATAAGTATTTGCATGGGGTCTAGATTTTTTGTTTATGTATTCATACATATCTAGATATATATATATATACCAAACATATTAGATACTGTAGTATCTGGTTATAGATTCCAGGTAATTGGAATTTAATTTTTCTTTTTGTTTATTCATACTTTCTACATTTTTATAATGACTCTTTTCTGCAATGATAAATGATATTGTTTGGGCAATTTTAAAAAATATAAATTTAAAAAAAGATTTATCTTCAACCAGTGTGTTGCTCCCAGTCTGACTAAGGGACTGTCCCTTGTGGTGGAGCTGTGTTGGCTCCTTGTTTGGCCATGACTTGGTTTTCTCCTTTTGCACTTTGACGGTAGAGGGAGAATATTGACTCTGGGGTGACCTCAAGCCTGATTGTGAGTATTGTCCAAGCATTGAACTCCTCTCCAGAACCCTGGAAGTGTTTCCAACCCATACCCACTTCTTCTCTACCCTCTTTGGTAAGAGGAGCTTCTTGTCCTCCAAGGTGCCAAGGGAACTAGCTGGGCCCCATGTCATTGCTCTGCCATCATTGGCTTCTTCCACATTTACTTTGTGCCAGGCCATACTGAGCCTGGCACATGCTTTATCTCTTTCAGTGTTTCTGAGGGATCCTTTTAAACTCTTCAGACTCTCTAATGGCTCCTTCCTACTAGAAGAGACCCAGAGTTCCTCCTGAGGCCTCTAGTACTCTTGTGGTCCTGTCAAGCCTCCTCTTCTGCCCCCACCTCCATGCTCTCCTGCTGTTTTTTTCTTCCCCAGGCTCACCTGCATCCTCTGTCCTTTTCTTTTTCAGTCTTATTGGCTCTTCTTTAGCTGTCTGCTCACTGTGTTCAAATGTCTGTCCTTAGGACTTTCACTGGGATAAAGTAGCATCTTTCCATCATTATCTTTCTCCTTAATCTCCTCTGTTTTTCTTCATAATTGTTATTACTACCCAACATTACATTATAGAATAGTAGGTTTTTTTTTTTTTTTTTTTGAAAGACAGCATCTCATTCCATCACTCAGGCTGGAGTATAGTGGAACAATCACAGTTCACTAAAGCCTCAATCTCCCTGGCTCAAGTGATCCTCCTGCCTTAGCCTCCCAGAGTGCTGGGGCTACAGGTGCACACCACCATGCCCTGCTAATTCTTTTGATTTTTAGTAGAGATGAGATCTCACTGTGTTGCCATGGCTGGTCTCCAATTCCTGGACTCAAGTGATCCCCCCACCTCAGCCTCCCAAAGTGCTGGGATTGCAGGTGTGAGCCACCACTCCTGGCCTATATAATAATAATTTTTTATTTTATATTTCCTCTACTAGAATATAAACTCTCTAAGGACATGGAAACTTATCTGACTTGTTCACTGCTTTTTTTTCCCCAGTGCCCAAAATATGCCTGGCTCATAGTAGGTGCTCAATAAATGTGTGTTGCCTTAAAGAGTTTAATTCTTTTCTCTCTCTCTTTTTTTATTTTTATTTTTGAGATGGAGTCTTGCTCTGTTGCCAGGCTGGAGTGCAGTGGTGCAATCTCAGCTTGTTGAAACCTCTGCCTCCCAGGTTCAAGCCATTCTCCTGCCTCAGCCTCCCTAGTAGCTGGGATTACAGGAGTGCTCCACCACGCCCAGCTAATTTTTGTATTTTTAGTAGAGACAGGGTTTCACCATGTTGGCCAGGATGGTCTTGAACTCCTGACCTCATGATCTTCCTGGCTCAGCCTCCCAAAGTGCTGAGATTACAGGCATGAGCCACCATGCCTGGCCAAGAATTCAAGTCTTACAACAACTCAGTGAGGCATATCATTAGCTCCCAATTTTCTGATAAAGTAAGGATCCAAGAGATTAATTTTCTTACATGGATTTTATAGCCAGGTATTGGCAGAGCCAGGTCTGAAACTCTCATCTTCTAATTACCTTCTAATGCTAGGAGGTAGTAATAAGAGCAACTCCTGTTTTTGAACACTGATTATGTCTAGATCTTGTGCTAAATGTTTTACATGCTTTAATCCATTTGCTTTTCATAGCAGCCTTATAAATAAAGTGTAGTTATTATTCTCAAGTTACTGATAAGCAAGTCAGTACTGTAAGTACTGATAAGCACTTAGAGTAGAAAGTCACCTCTTCAGACGGATAGTAGATGGCACAGCTGGGCTTTAAAACCTGGGCTGTCTGATGCTGTAGACCAGTGATTTCCAATAGAAATATAATGTCAGCTACATATATAATTTAAAATTTTCTAGTAACCACATTAAAAAATAAAAGAGGTAAATTACTTGTAATAGTATGTTTTATTTAACCTTGTATATCAAAATATTATTTCAAAATATAAGCAACATAAAATTATTGGGATACTTTATATTCTTTTTTTCAAACTAAGTGTTCAAAATTTGTGTGTGTGTGTAAGAGACAAGTCACTATGTCACCCAGGCCACTGTACAGTGGCTATTCACAGGTGCAGTTATAACACACTGCAGTGCCTTGAACTCCTGCATTCAAGCCATCTTCCTGCCTAAGCCTCCCGAATAGCTGGGACTATAGGCTTGTGCCATTGTACCTGACTCTAATGGGTATTTTACACTTGGTAGTGCGAACAACATTTCAAATGCTCAGTAGCCACATGTAGGTAGTGGCTACTATGTTGGATAGTATAACACTAGAGTCTGCACTCTTAGCCACAAAGCTGTATTGCCTCTCCTTTAGAAGACTTCATCAATCTTGCAGGCTGATGGCCCAACTTCTGTGTTCTATTTATGTATGTTTACTTGTACTTCTAAGAGTCATGTTTTTTAGCTGCGCAAAAGGAAAGAAGCAGCAATGAGGCTTAAAAATCCCTTTATAGCTGTTTACCCTGTGGCATGGCAGAGAGTTAGACTGCATCATAGAAAACCACTGCTTAACAGTACTCCTTGGTGAGACTTGGGGCTGGGTTTTCTAGCCTCAGCCATAGGGTATTGCTTGGCTTGCTTCAGGCCACCTTTCTGGGCTGGGAAGACTACAGGGAAGGTTAGTGAATACTTTGGGAATGTAGTGCTAAAACTTTGGCTGTCCCTGCTGGAGCTAGTGTGTCTTTAGCTTACATGAGAAACCAGGTCTCTGGAGTCTTTGGCCTCTGGGAAAGCACTGGAGTGCTTAGGTGTTAGAATTGAATCAGACCAACTGGCATTTTAGTTTCCTGTCTAGTGAAAGAAAGAAAAAACCCAGACATAAAAACCCACTGAAAGAATTATTTAAAGATTCTGGGAAGATGGTGGTGGCAGTAGCATATTTTTTAAATTCTCTCTTAATCCATGTTCCCCCTCTGCCCCACTTTGAACATTCGTAACAACTAGATCACAAACCCTAAAACTCATGAACAAAATTATAGTAAACCTGGGTGACAGATTATCCCCATCACCCCCAAAATAGAAGTGGTTGAAGATATACCACCAACATCTATAAGATCTTCAGAGTATCAGCATCTATAGAAGAGAAAGCAGAATAAGCACTGGGGTATTTGATAGACTTGGGAATAGGAGAACCCCAAAGCTGCCAACAGGTACATTTGCTGGAAAGTTCAGTGAGTCAGGGTGGGAATAGCAGCTGAAATTGGCAGGGAGTTCGACTATCTAAATAATGGTGAGTAGAAGGGATCTGTGGAATAGCCATTATGATTTCTTGAAACAAGCCATCTAGGGGTCCCTTCTAGAATGATGCTGCATACCTAAGAAAGTCAGTATGGAGTAGAATTAAAATGACAAGGACAGAGATAGTTGTGGCAAAAGCAGCTGTGTGTGTGTGTGTGTTGTGAAATCTCAAGAAATAGTGGCCATGGTGTTGAACACTACATGAAAGCAACCTAAAACAGAGCTGTGTGAAGTTCAAAAAGGTACTCTGAACCATATTGCTCTCTAAAAGCTCAGGAAAACTAATTTTGCATAAAAATAAGCAACAGGAAATTATTGCTGTCAAATCTCATTCAAAGTTATTATTAAAAAAAGACACCAGAATCCCTATAGACAACGAAAACATGCCAGAAAGGCATGCCACAAAACAGATAAAACCTGTAACTATTTATTTTAAAATGAGCTAAGAGATATTAAGAGCATGCATAAAGAACATAAATCAGAAATAAGAAAAATCTCAGAAATGGGATGACAGAACTTAGGAAAGGAACATATGAAAAAAATGCTCATCATCACTGGTCATTAGAGAAATGCAAATCAAAACCACATTGAGATACCATCTCACACCAGTTAGAATGGTGATCATTAAAAAATCTGGAGATAACAGATGCTAGAGAGGAGGTGGAAAAATAGGAACACTCTTACACAGTTGGTGGGAGTGTAAATTAGTCAACCATTGTGGAAAACAGTGTGGCGATTTCTCAAGTATCTAGAAACAGAAATTCCATTTGACCCAGCAA